AGAGACTGAACAACACGACATGAAATCTGGTTATGGATCACTTTTCTGCAACACTAGAACAAAATATTCTAAACTGCACTGCATAAAGCCATTTCAGTGTGAAGTTCACTGCAATATTTGTTGCATTCCCTGATAATATCAGAACTTTTTGGTTTCTCCATTTCCCTTAAAACGTTACACTAAGTGCTTTCTCGTTCAGGCACTTTGTCTTACTCCATTATTTTACTGAAAATCTTTGTCAACAGAGGATGTTTCTTCCTCTTTCATTCGCTTACGGTCTCTAAGAAGTCGCTCTCTGTGCACATTTCGCGGAAAACGGAAAATTCCGGCAAAGAATATTCTGCCGAAAACCTGTGATAGCTATGAAGGCTTTTTAAGATAACTGAACGGTTGGGTAAACGGACAGTGACAACACATATGCTTATACTTCCGGAATGGCAAGTTTTGGTAGAGGAACCTATGGCGCAAATCGCTGGTCGACGTCAGCGCCCAGCCGTGCATCATAAATTTGAATCTATATATTAGACAAAAACCCATCTGTACCGTCTGTTTGATTTAAATAATCAGATCGTACATTAACAAAAAGCTCTGGGAGCACAATCCGAAACTTTGGTCAAATTATTGAATCCTACAATTCATAAATTTTTATTTTACACCATCGTGGCGACCGCGCGAAATCAATAAGCCAGGGCAAGTGCCGCCTTGGAGGTTTCGTTGTTTATGTAGAACATGTCACATGACTGCATATACAAAACATGAGACATTGACCAAACTCTGTTCAATTTGCATAGGGTGATTCTTTGAGCCACAGAATCTGAACGATTCACTTGCGAGTTCAGAAATAAGTTCGAACAGCATTCAGCCAGTTTCGATGACTGCTCATCCTTTCGGGTCGCGGAGGCAGACCCATCATATAGTATCCCCAACATTCCTGATTCCGTGGCAACTTCTGAGCTTCATCAGAAGAAAATCCAAATCTAGAGCAGCGTCCTATAAGACACTTGCCCTAGGTCATCCTAGGTCGTCCACGGGATCTTCGGCGGTTGGCTGAGCAAGAAGTAGTTGTTTCGCGTTCCACTTCAGAAGCATTCCCAAGATGTATCCAAAGCATTGCAGCTGTCACTCAGGAGAAACAGCGGTTGTACACGAAAGCTTTCTCGGGTATCTGAACTCGAGACTCGGAAACATCAGTCAAGTGATTTGCTCCGAAAGTCCATCTCAGTCAGTCGTACGCGGGATGGCAGTTTTTCAGTCATGGCTCTCGACTCATTAACGTAGGAGAGCATCAGGATGAAAACAGACTTGGAGAGACAGCTTTATTTTTAGAGTCAGCCCTACCTATCCCCTCACAACAGCTTAGGGCATTTTCAGAACAGTTCTATCACAGAGGTTCCGTAGAACGTCACTGGTCATTCTTACTCGCAGATTGATCTTCTCCTTCCACTTTTCATTACTAGTAAACACGACCTGAAGGTACTTGAACTTCCCCACCTGCTCCACTGCCTCTCCGTTTATCTGCATGGGCACGAGAAGAAGGTTGATTCTATATACGTTTAAACGGTGGACATTTGATTCCGAAATTCTGGTACAAGTTTACACCTGGAAAGCTTTTCTGGTTCTTCTATAAATCGTGACTGTCGTTCTGTTTTCACTGTTTATTTATTTGCTTATTTAAAGTTATGAATCAAGATTCAATATTTTTAACGATCTTGCTGGAGTAGTAAAAATTCTCAAAAAACTTTCGGAAACCAAGTACTTACAGTCTGAACTAACTTCGTCTGCAACTCCAGCAGCTGTTGCTTCAGTTCCATATTCTGAGCGACGGCTCGCGAAGACGTGGCTTTCTCGTTGCGCAGCTGCTCCAGCAATTCTCTCGTGTTGTTCTTGATCAAGTTATGCTCGGAGAGCTCTTGGGATATGGCATTGAGTCGGTCCGTCTTGGTTCGTACTTCAGATTTCAACGCATCCATTTCTTTCTCCTGAAATTCAAGCGATAGATTCTTTCACTGACGAAGCATGAAGAGACAATTCTAACAGGAAAAGCTAAAATTCATCATCTGTTCGATTGTGCAAGAAAACTCTAGAGGAAAATGAGAAAAATTTGATGCTACCTGACCGCATCCGATACAGCAGACACACAACAGCAAAGAACATGTTAGAGTTTGACAGTTGCAATTAAGCTTCAAATGCGAAAATTAAACCATAACAGTACCCAGAGTATATCTCTTATCTCCAGCCAGCTGGCGCTAGGCGGTGACTGGATGATTGGATAATCGAAAAAATTTCTGAAGGTGTCGAACCCGCAAGTAAAAACGGAGAACAATATCTGGCTATGAAAATGTGTATATCAGCTACTACAGCTACTAGATTATTTCATGTACACCATTAATTCACTCAAACTCTGGCACCGATTCACTGGACTACTGTTGACGAACAAAGTATTGTTCATATTGCTCCAGCCATTAAATTGATGGCGGTCGACGTGTCTCTGCACTGCAGATGAAAACTTCACTGCCTTCTAGAGCCACGAAACATGCTTTTGGAGGAGTTATGCAGAAGTTATATTTCTTTCAGCTGAATATATCACTTTCTGGCATTCATCATGACTAACAACAGAAAAGACTATTCTACAGTTTCAAATATGGAAACTTAACTTTATCTGTACGTCTCTGAGATGGGATTAGTGAGTTTCCATTTACAGCATAAAACTATTTATACACAACGCAAACGGCAAATCGTAAATTGTTCAGTAGATGAGCGAGTTTCAGGAGTTCCTCTTATCGTGGCTCGGAACGAAGGAATCGCTGCAAACGATACAACAGGTATTCGAAGTTAATCAAACTTTCTACCTTGAAGAAGGCGCGTGAAACATGGTACTGACTGATCATCCGATCTACCATAATATTTGCGTTGCGTACAAATAAACTGTTTTTAGTATGACCCGTAACGCATGAACCAAATATTCAATCTTCAGAGTTTCAGCTTACTCAGTATTTTACTCTCAAACTCACAGAAAACACCAATATTGTTGTTGTCAACGTCTCTGAAATATAAGGATCAAATACCGAACACTCAGATCAATTATGGAAAACGTGCATGAATGGTAAACGTCCACAGGTCTGAACCATTAACACTAAGAAATCTGACCTCCAGCCATTCAACATCAACAACGAGACGATTTATATTACCTGATGGAACGTGCGGAGAAGTAAAACGGCGATAGCAAGCGAGAGGACAAAAACAAAATAGGTTCATTATACAACGTATCAAAGAAAAAAACAACCAGAACAACCAAAAAAAGAAAAATAACCATAAAACAAGATAAAACCTCGTACCATCGAGTCGCGCATATCTTTTGACTCGATCAGCTGCGCCTCAACTTCTCGCAACTTTTCGTTCAGCCGCTCCAGCTGTGAATTTGGCTTCTGCTCAACGGCTGGCATCGTCTGTTGCTCCTGTTTCAAACGAGACACATCGGACAGCGCTGTTTCCAGGTTCGCTGTCAGCTGACTGATGGACATCGCCTGTGCTACTTTCTCCGCATTCAACTGCTGTATCTTGTCGTTCAGCTTCAGGATCTTGTCGTTCCATTCACGGGTGAACGACGTGTGCAGCGTCTGGCTGCTGGCCAACTCGCGCTTTAAATAGGCAACGGCGTTCTTCAGGTTCTCGATTTCGGTATTCTTCTCCTTTAGTTCTGTCAGGTACTTCTCCTCTTCCTTGTCAGTCGCGAGCGTTAAACCTACAAATTGTAACCGTTTATCAATGAGGTTGCATCACGCATCTTTGTTGTGCAGTAACTTCAAAACTTTGACCGTTATAACACGACCACTTTAAGTGATAAATCGATTCTTTTTTTCAAAGAAAAAAAAGAACGTTCGTAACAGTTGGAGTGTTGATTCTCTGTACACTTTCATAACTTAAAACACCTAGGCTTTTTCGTGGAACTTATGCCGTGGAACCGACATCCGTTGCGATGCCATCTGCCAAAAAGCGATGCTTTTGTGAAGGCAACAACTACAGCTAGGATACCAATACAGTCCCTTGTTTCGTCTGCATAGAGTAACACCCGTGTTCACGCTAAGAACAGGCAACAGTCACCATGCCAAATGAACTAGTTATTGGGCAATTCATTTTCAATTTAACAGCTATGTACTACACATGGTATGACTGGAACTGCACACTATTTAAAGTTTCTACTTGCATACAAACTC